GTGATTTCTTGTTCGTCGACTTTCAGCTTAATGGTCTCTACCACTTTTCTGCTAGTAATAAGCACTGTCTTAGTCTTATGGTGCGCCAGTTGCGGGTTCACTGCGTCCATCCACCGGTTGACGCGCTTAAAAGTGAGATCGAACATATGTTTTATCTTGTCAACGTGTTTAGCAACGATCACTACAGCTACGTCATCTGCATATGCTCCGAGTTTGACGTTTCTTGGCAGAGTTAGTGTTAATAGACCGTCATACATAATATTCCACAGGAGCTGGCCTAGAACTGAGCCTTGTGGCACACCTCCAGTGATATCATACTCCCTCGGACCGTTTTTCGTGTCATACTTCAGGACCCTGTTTTCAAATTAGTTTGCTACGATCTTAAGAAGGTCTTCTGGTACATTCTTCTCTTGGAGGGCTTGCATGATGCATTCCCAATTGGCGGGGTTGAATGCGTTTCTGATGTCTAGGGTCGCCACCAGGCAATACTTCTTCGTTTCACCCTTCCATCTGGTTCCTGCGATTGCTTCCTTGGCCGTGTCAATAACCAGTTTGATTGCGTCCAGGGTTGATCGTCCTTTCCGGAATTCATACTGATTGTCTGCCAGGAGTGGGTCGACTACTGCTTCAATTCTCTGGTGAATTATACGTTCAAATATCTTACCCGCTGTATCCAGCATTCAGAGTGGGCGGTAAGATGACGGTTCATCTGGTGGTTTCTTCCCTTTAGGTAACAGTAGCAATCGTTGCTGTTTCCACTTATGCGGGAAAGTCCCCTCCTTAAGGCATGCATTATAAACGTTTTGGAATAATGTTGGAGCTGCCTTTCTGATGGTTTTCAATGCTATATTAGGGATTCTGTCCAATCCCGGCGCTTTATTATTCCCTACCCGGTTACTGGCCTCCAGCAGTTCTTCTTCAGTGATAGGTGGAGTGTCGTTCAGTTCACCTGGCGCCAACTGGTAGTCGAAGTTGCGTTGCTGTGGGAACAGTGCGGTGACGATTTTCTGGAGAAGTTGAGGATACGTAGGTGATGGCATTTGTTGTTTTTTTAGGTGGGTCATAACCACCTTATAAGGCCTTCCCCAAACGTCTTTATCCACCTCGTTGATGAGCTCTTTCCAGCATTGTCTCTTACTATCCTTGATGGCTTTATTCAATGATCGACGGGCTTTTTTGTATTCTGCGATCAGCTCCGCAGAGTTAGGTCGTCGATAGCCACGCTGGGATATTCTTCTTTTCTTTAGACACTCTTTTCGAAGATGTGTGTGTGTGTGTGTGTGTGTGTGTGTGTGTGTGTGTGTGTGTGTGTGTGTGTGTGTGTGTGTGTGTGTGTAAACTTCTCATAACTTTTGAACGGCTTGCCAATTTGATCGCAGTTGGTGCCAATCGAAAGAGTTCGACTAAAAGGGGCCGACAACCGCGTGAAAATCGGTTCATTCATTCAAAAGTTATTGCGGTTTGAAAATTCAAAAATCAGTGTTTTATTCAACTTCTATCAGACTTTTGAACTCGGAGAGCTCAAAACTTCACAAAAATTATGTTTTGGAGGTCTTTGAGTTCAAAAACGAACTAAGTGCAATTTTGAGCGCTTAATTACGAAAGTAGCGGGAAGTTGCAGGTATAGCCTTCAGGGTCAACCGTTTTCCTAACTTTTTTTTAATAATAAATGAGCATTTTGAGGCATGCATTTTTAGATTTTCATAACTTTTTTGTTGATTTATTTACAGAAGCTGTAATACTGGTATCGGTAAAATTAGTAGTGGTAGAAATGAGGTATATTTGGGTCATGGCTGTCTAAATAAAAGAAATGTTTTACACGAATTGGGACATGCAATCGGCTTTCATCATGAACACAATCGTCCAGATCGTGATCAATATGTTAAAATCAAAATGGAAAATGTTTACAACGGTAACATATAGATGTTTCATATATTTTGTTATTTTTATGACGAAAAGTCAGAGTTAATAGTAAATATTTGATACAGGTAAAGAATTTAATTTTGATAAATTGTCACCTGGAGAAATCACTACTCTTAATCAAATTTATGATTACAATTCAATAATGCACTATAAAAGATATGAATTTTCATCTGATCGATCTAAAGATACTATAGTACCTTTACAAACTGAGAATAATGAAATTGATAAAATTGGTAAAGGAGCAAAGCTGAGTGATATTGACATTATTGCTACGAATTTACTCTACAGATGTATTGGTATGTTTAAAAATAATAATTGTACACGGGAAAAAATTTCTGGGAAAATTTACGATACAACTATTGTAAAGCTGGACTCTACTTTTATTACTATCAATTGTCAAATATTTTAAAAGAAAAAATACTATTTATTAATAAATACTATTTATTAAAAAATACTATTTATTAAAATTTCCAGTGCTGCCTCTGTATCTTTCCAATAGAACTGTAGAAAATTTTATCATAGTTAAATTGGAATGTTTTTCAATTAGTGTGAGTGATGGCCATGCACAGCGCTAGACTCCGAGTTTATGTAAATGTTAAAGGATATGGGTCTTAGTTTATCTCGGATAGCGTAGAGGGAGAGTCTCTGGCTGTAGAGTTCTGGGTTCGATTCCCAGATAGCACAAAAATGTCGGTATCTTTTTTCGATTACTGTACAGTTACCAACCTTCTATCTCTCTCCCTCCCTAATATTTCTTTTAAAAAAACCAACTGTGAATTTTTACAATAGTTGAATTGTAAAGTTCACAAACACATATTGTATAATTTTCTCTATAGTATTCGACTTTTTACGACTCTTGCTAGTCTTATTTGTTGGATAAAATTTACAATAGTAGATCGTAAAAATTACTAAATGAGAAGTATAGTCCGCCGTTCCTATTTTATTTAGTAAAAATTACAATAGTAAAATAGTAAAAACTCCTTCAATTTTCTTTCCGTGTACATCTATAAAGTGGTACGCAACTCCATATGCGGAGACAAAATAACCGCGACAAAATAACTGAACGATAAAATAACTAGACAACAAAATATTTATGGAATAATGTTATCAGTAGTTTGTCAGGTAATCGGAAAAAACAAACTTGGAAAAAATAAACTAAAAAACATTGTTATGTCCAAGGGCGTTTTTAGAGCGGTAGCGTAAACGGTGGAGGTTCAGACTAATAGTTTAAAGAATACGCAACGGAGGTTTTAATTCCGTTGTTTAATTATTTTTGTGGGACGTTTTCGATATACGAACTTACCACGCCTTCGTTTGAGACTGGCACGGATTTTAATAAGGAGTAGATGTACTTACTTCTTGTTGAACTATTTCTTAGGATCGGATCCGTGATTCCGGGGCTGATCGTAGTGCCTTTTCCTAGATTGGACCCTCTGTTGGTATTTGCAGCGGATGGATGTGGATGGATTTGGGCTGCTTATCTTAAGGGCTTCTTATATGAATGAAATGAATTTATTTAAAACAGATTTCACTTTTCAAGATTTATTTTATAAACACCAAAACTTCTACACTTTCACAAATTTTATTAGATCGAAATTAATGTTAATGAATTTTATTTATTTGAGCAAACGTCCTCCAGTCCCCCGTAGGGTAAAGTGCGCAAATTTAGCTTTAAAAGATGTTAAGTTAAAAGATATTATACTTATTGACCGAACTCTCGCCTAAGTGCAGAGCAAATTAGAACTTTGAGAATCCGGTTCTCTAGATTTTCTTACTGGTCAAAATCCCGCCTAAGTGCAGGGCAAATTAAGACTTTGGGATTTGACTTTCTAGGTTTTATCTACTTATCGAGTCTTCGCCTAAGTGCAGGGCAAATTAGAACTTTGAGAAACCCGACTCGTAGATATTAATAACTAATACGTGGCCTGCCGGTTGAAACCGCGTCTGAACTCGAATTAAGTGCAGAGCAAATTAAGACAAGGGACTTTACAAGGCACGGGCCTGTCAAGTTAAACGCGGTAGTCGAATTAACTAACAAAAAGACTTGGATTTGGCTGTTGATCGCCTTTTTAAAAACTCGCGGTGCTGAGATTGCAGAAGTCCCCGCTAGTCAACCAGCAGTCACGTAGCTTACATTTTATTGTGGCTTTCGAGCATGGAGAAGTCTTCCATCTGCGTGGGTGATTTAAATTAAAAGAAAAAAATGAAGATGAACATAACAACATCAATTATTACAGAAAATTATCCATCAATTTACCAAATGTCGAATAATTTTAGAATAAGATTAATTATCTATAGTTATATTTCCAGTTGCAGAATGTTAATAGGGAAAACATTTTAACTCGCATTGACCAGTAGATGTTATACCCAGTCATCTATCTTACAGCATTAAATTTATTTGAGTTAGTTCGATTTTTATTACTCAACCTTATCTGAAAGTGCCAGTTTTATTGTAATTTTATTTGCTGTCGGGTCGTGCGAATGTCTTTTAAGGCAAATATCCACTATGACGGCCAGAAAAATAGGTGATTATCAGGGTTTTTTTTGACCAGGAAAATAAAATAATGTGGGGATTAGGTTTTTTTGTACTATTAAATATACATTGAAGATTAGTATCCTAAACTTTTATCAAGAAATATCAAATTGTTGCAAAATTATTAACATTCATGTCCAGCCTAAAAAATATATTTTCCTTCCACGGTTGCATCGCTATCTCGAAAACAGATCATCCGAGAAAAAAAACTTTAGTTGCGTTACAATCTGTATGAGTGTAGTTATCGTTGCACGTAATTAGTTTTTTTTTCATTCAAAAAAAAATTTGAAAAACGGTTCACCCTAAAGGCCATCGCTGCAACTTCCCGCTCATTTTGTATTTAAACGCTTCAAACTACACATTACGTTTTTGAGCTCTTCGAGCTCAAATATATTATTTTTGTGTCAATTGGAGCTCTTCAAGCTCAAAATTCTAATAGCAGTTTAAAGACACAATTTTTTCAATTTTCAAACGGCAATAACTTTTGAATGAATGAACCGATTTTCACGCGGTTGGCGGCAATCGACGCAGTATTTGAAGCTCCATGAAAAATTTTCAAGTTTAAATCGATCGAGCCGTGAATTTCGAAGTTATTACAAAAAAACACTTTTTTCGATTTTTTTCGACAACGATATCTCACGAACGCATCAACCGATTCTAACGTTTTTGGTGGCGATCGATGGGGGTTTTCAAAGTTAAGAGCTGATTAGTTTTTGAGACTGATCGGTTCAGCCAATTCGGAGATATTTAAAAAAAAATCTTTTTTTTCACTTTTTTTGCATTTTCTCGAAATCTACCGGTCCGAATCGGTTCAAATTTTCAGGAAATCTAGGTTTAGTGAAGCCCTTTCGAATGACACCAACCGCGATGAAATCGGTCAAGTCGTTCAAAAGTTACAAGAGGTTTACACACACACACAAACACACACACACACACACACACACACACACACTCGGGGCAGAAGAGATACTGCTACCGGGTGCGTTTCCCCGAGCGGATGGGAGAACGCTCGCTGTCCTTGGATGACACTTGGATAATCTCTTAGTCGATGAGGTACAGAGGGTAGGAGTTGAATAAAATACGCTCCCGTGGACAAAACTCCCCTTTAATGGGTTGGTCACACTAACTGACCTAACAAGACGATCGGTCCCTGCTGTAACTCACTGGGAGTGTCCGGATTCCGTATCGTAGTTTCCGACGATGCAGGCCACGGCTGATGTGAGCTTGCTCTACCGAGGTGTAAGTTGCAGTAGTGGATCAGGAGCCAGTCACTTCGGGCCTTGATCAGGGAGTACGCAGTGAGTGTTAGAGATCGGAATCTTCACCGCCCCGAGCAAGTCTAGTCCGTCCGTGTATTCTGGGACTGGCTACGTGTCGGCTAGGCCTCAGGGAACTGGGGTAGGAGTACTATCTCCGAGGGTACACCCGTTCCTAGTTATGACAACCCGCTCCACTCCATATGATGCGCTGGTAAATCAAAAAGTATGAGTAATTTACAGGAAACAAACAAGAATAGAAACGGGCTCATGCTCAACAAGCAGCGATTGAAGCAAGCGCTGAAATGAAGAGAACGCAAGCGTTGGAGCGCCTTGAAAAGCTGACCATTGAGCTACAAGAGTTTGTCCAAACTAAGGTCAATATCCACAAGGAGATAAAGACCAAGACAACCGGTGTAGTCAATACTCTTGGAAGATTCAAGAAACTGAACGAGGAATGGCAGTCATCACGACGCCGCATTGAAACCGAAGTTGAGACGGAAGAAGCAATGGACACTGGAGCCGACGGTGACGGTGAATCTGCTGCTGAGGACCAGGGTGAAACTGACACAAGGTCTGGAAAGAGAAAGGACCGAGATTCGCCAGAGCCAACCGACAAAGTCATAAAGAAGAAGGACCAGAAAAAAAGCCCTCCCCAACAACTGGCAGGGCAGGGCGACGAAACCAAGAAGACAACTGACTGGGAAAAAGTACAGTAAGAAGGAATAGAGAAGGCTAGCTAGAGAGCAACTCTCAAAGCAGCCGCCGAAGGAGCCCAGGCCAGAGCCTAAGCGGAAAAAACCACGCAAATGGATCAGACCCGACGCACTGATCATCCGCCCGGCCGAGAAAGCAAAATATGCCGAGATTGTGCGTCGCATAAAGCAGGACGTCCCAGACGAGCAGGTTCGTTCAACTGTGGATAAGATCAACAAGACCAGAAGTGAGGACTTGTTGATTACGATTTCGAGGATGGGCACTGACAAAGGCCAAGGTCTGCAAAAGACGATCGCAGACATCCTTAAGGAGGAGGCCAAAGTGATCTGCAAAGGGCCACAGGAGACCATCGAGATCCGAGATGGCGATGACGACACGACGAAAGAGCATATTCAGACCGCACTAAAGAGGGAAGCTGGAGAAAGTTATGAAATTCCACTAGAGGCAATCAAGATCCGTAAAGCCTTTGGGGTACACAGACAGCCATAGTGTGACTACCAGCAGCTGCAGCACAAAAGCTACTGGAGGGAAACTGCAAAATAAGGATAGACTGGTCGAATTGCCGAATGAGAGCAACGAAGAGACCCATACAATGCTTCAAATGCTGGCACTTTGGGCACATCGAATCTCAGTGCAAAAGCGAAGTCAACCGGTCTCAGCACTGCATAAGGTGCGGAAAAGAAGCACACAAAATTGCTGATTGTAAAAATCCAGCTGAATGTGCACTGTGCGTTGAACGGCACGGCGTAGAAAAGGCAGCTCACCATGCAGGCACGAATAGATGCCCCGTCTTCCAAGAAGCGCTCCAGAAGATAACAAAGCCAAGAACATGAAGATATTGCAGCTCAATCTCAAACATTGTGAGGCTGCGCATGACCTGCTCATGCAAACTATGCGCGAATTAGAGGCAGACGTAGCACATAAGTGAGCCTTATAGACACTTGAGTAAACAACCCTGGGAATCCGACAGCACTAACAAAACCGTCATCTGGTCCTGCGGTAAATGTACTATTCAGAGAACAGCCAACAACAAAGAACCCGGCTTCGTTGCAGCATGGGTAGATGGCCTCCGCTACTACAGCTGCTATGCACCACCTAATCTCTCTAATGAACAGTTTGAAGACTTCCTTGATCGGCTAACTGAGGACGCAAGAAAACACTTTCCCGATGCAATAGCTGGTGACTTCAATTCCTGAGCAGCAGACTGGGGCAGCAAGTTCACTAATACACATGGAAAAGCACTTCTCGAGGCAATGGCCACACTGGACGTGATCATTCTTAACACCGGTGACACGCCAACCTATACCAAGGGAGAGGCAAGCTCAATCGTCGACCTCACATTTGTCAGCAGTTGCTTAGCCCGAAGAAGTTTTTCTTGGAAAGTATTGAACATCTACACAGCCAGTGACCATAGTGCGATACTATGGAAAATATCAACTGGCCAGAAACTAACAAGAGACAACAAGAGCGCTAGCGCGGTTGGGTGGAAAGTTAAAGCACTCGACCCCACTGCTTTAGTAGTAGCCTTACACTGCGATCCGATCATGGTAGAAACTGCTGAAAAGAAGACCAAGGACCTAATGAGAAGAGTCACCCAGACTTGCGACGCTAGTATGTCTCGGAAACGTGACATGAA